TTTTAGATCAATTTATTGAGTGTCTTTTTTTAAATAACGATGTTTTGCTGGTGTATACCACAGCAATTCATGTTTTAAATTACGTTCATATCACTTTCAATAAAGTGCTAAAAGCAAACACGAGCAAATTTAACATTAAAACTATCCTGGCGTTTACATAAATGTTTCCAAGCAGCTTACATTTCCTAGTATTTTGGAAAGCTATAGATTGCTGTACTGGGTACAAAACTCTTACACATGCACTGCACACCTCATATTGCTAAAATTTAAAGCCTTTAACACTCTCAACATATTATTTTACTAAATATTGGCTGTGAACCGTAAATGTACATAAATATCAAACCACAATATGGAGAAATTCAGCACAAGCTGATGTCACATAAGCCACGCCTACATGCGCGGTATCTTATCTGTTTATTTGTATCATGGTGGCGCCTGATGAAAAGTATTGGCGTTTCACACATATTATATAAAGATATAAAAATTGATAATACCGCGTACTCCAGTCGTCAGGGACGAAAATACCACTGAACTTCTAAAAATCACACGAACAAGCTAAATTGTGCTTAGAATGTCAATTTTGGGAACCCAAAAAGATGCAAAAAAGTTCACCACTTTTCTTCTTATTATTAGAGTGCCGTCTCCCTACGGAGGTTGGCAATCATAATGGCTATTTTTATTTTAGAACTTGCTGCTCTAAACAAATCAATCGATCTGCATTGATACCAATCACGTAGATTCTTTAACCATGAGTTAAGTTTTCTACCAACAGATCTTCCTTGAATTTTTCCCTGTATTATGAGTCTCAAAATTTCAAATTCTGGTCCCCTCGTCACGTGGCCTAGGTATTCCATCACCACTTTTAACTCTCACCTTTCCCCTAAAACTACCCTCCGTAAGGGAGGAAAAACGGAAAAAATCGTTTTATAAATAATCTGTACGTCATAGAAAAAAATTGAAAAGAGTGGCCTATTAACAAGAATCAAAATGCGTTTTAAAGCTAAATAGAGCAGCTTTTCTATGCAATTTTTAGATTTTGCCGCAAATGAAGAGAGTTGTTTAAATAAACAAACGTTTACCGATTTTTACTATTTTTTGAATGAATGAATCATGAATCTCATGATCAATAATATTTATCACTTCTATTGATCGGTCACTATGGGATTTTCATCATTAGATGCCAGTATTCAAAACATGTAGCCTGAAATTTCGGTTTTGAGGTTTAGCAACAAATGTGAAACATTTGCAATGTGCCTAAAAACGCTAAATTTAAACTTTCACCAAAAAATTTCAAAACGTTTAAAACTGGTTCTTTTGATTACACAAGTACGTTTTTCGAAACGGCACAACTTTAGCTACAAATTCCATTTAATACTCTTTTCGTGGAAGCATTTCCTGTGACATGCGATCGTTTATAATGTGAATGTTTAAATTCAGAATTCAGTTTTGAAGACTCTAATAATCAAAATCCCATAGTCACCGGTCAGTGGAAGTGATAAATATGATTGACCTCATGAGAATCGCTACCCGAGGGTAAATATCGTTACAAGGGTAAAAATCGCTAAACGTTTATTTATTTACCATCTTTCTAGGAACTGACTTAATTTGCGGCAATATACAAACATTTTATAAGAAAGCTACACTTTTCACCTTTAAAACGCATTTTGATTTTTGTCGATAGGACAATCTTATAGACTATTAAAAGATATCGAATTTTTACCGTCAAGTTGATACATATTTAATTTAAAATTGATTTCGCGCGCGTTCCTGACATTAATTCTACACAAAAATGCTAATAAACATTTTTATTCAAAATTATCTCAGCTACATTTTTTATTTTAAACATTTTTTTCTACGGAGTATAGATTCTTGGTAAATCGATTTTTTCCGTTTTTTCCCACCTACGAATGGAGGTTTTGGGGGAAGCCTTGGGGTGAAAGTGTTAAACTTAGCCCTATATCCGTTGGCAACAATTTTTGTGTCGACAAATTATAAAAATCAAAGGACGTTATTAATAAATTACGGTAAATAATGTATTTTAATAACTTCAAATTATAATTTCGTTTTTAAATGTTATAAAGAAGTTTTGTATTAAAATCCTGTCTTTTTTTTGAGATAAATTCTTCAATAACGAATTTATTAAAATTTGGAATTTCTTGAATCATTTTTTTGAATGGACCCCTTTGCGGGTGAAGTTAGTCGATCCTGTCGCATAGTACTTCTATAAGTAAAGTTTTATGTACAAAAACATCGTTCTACTTTACTATCGTGTCATTGGCATCGTAACAAGTACTTACAAGAATTAAAATTATTTCAGAAAAATCTGCTTGCAAATTATTTTCAATCAAAAATTTAAGTAAGTGGACTGATCCGGTAAATTTTTCAAAATCGGATCTTTTATAAATATTTTCCTATTTAATCCTTAATTCATTTTTGTTTAAAAAGTAATAATTGCCAATTGCTGATTCCTATGCCAATATAGGAAAATTTCAGCTGCATGTTTTAAAATTTTCCACTGAAAATAATCTTGCTATTTCCAAACGTTCCTTGCTTTAATTTCAGATAGTAGAGTATTATAAGCTAAGCTTGAATAATAGTGGAGGCATAAGAATTTATGTCATCCTTCTTCGGTCTTTTCTTGGATTGAGTATCGTCAAGGTCTGCTAGGTTTTTCTTATGGTGAATATTGTCTCTTTCTTTTTGAATATTTTTTTCAAATGCAAATGTGAGTTGATAACACGCAACTTAAAGATTCTTCTATGCAGTCAGCTAAGGCAACAGCATTGTAGTTATTTGGTTTTAAAAAAATCCAAAATCTTTGGAGCAGATGAACCGTTTTGTAAAGTGTAACGATAAACTATAAAAATTTGAAAAATATTTGAAATCTGTCGTTTCATCTTTCAGAATGGAAACAAACTTTGATGCAGCATTTCTTTTTTGATATGTGCCTGATACTGAAAGCAATCGAGTATATCATTTTGAATATCTTTTGACGTTCCTTTAAATGTGGTAGCTTGCTGCCAATGGGATTTGAGAGCTAAATCCAATTCTGCAGAAAATTGGTAATTACTTACATTAGTAAGGCTAGTCAGATTAGTCTGAAATTTGAACAGTGGATTGTGGTTTACTTTTTATTCACTTTACAATTTTTTTTCTCTGAGCTGAGCTGTAGTTTTTCCGTATTTCTTATTCAAAAAGACTGATATTTTGACATAAAATTCAAACTGCATCCCTCATTACATCTGCTGTCATTGATGTACGTATGCGTAAAACATACTTTTTGAACCCATGTTGCCACACTTTTTAAATATATTGTTTATTGCGAAAATGCTAATTCACGAGTATCTTCATAAAGGAATAATGATGAGTATCATTTCAGTTTCCTGTTTCTAAGGGATTCATATAACTGTATTTTATTTGTTATTAACTTATGTTATTATATATAGATTCGATTTAATTTCTTTAGTTTAGGTTTTAATTTGATTATGATAAATGAGTTTTTGCGAAAATATTAAAGAGTCCAATTTCCGTTTCCTGTTTGCGCCGTTGCTATCAAACTAATGAAAATTTAATATTATGTTACATTTCATTGGGTGCATTGGTTATTTACTTCGTTTTAAAGTATAGCTTTCATATCGTGGACTAGGTGTGATCGCGCATAGGAGTGAAAAAATTAAAACAAAAGAAACGCAATGAAACGGCAACGCAATGTAACGAGAGATTGCGCTACCATACACTACGTGGAACAATAGTGAACGCAGTAGTAGTAAACGCAGTATCATGCGTGTTCCTTAATAAAATAAAATAAAATACAATAAAATAATCACAATCTAAATTCGAATCCGAATCCATTTCCAAATCCAGAAGAAGTATGTAAGCAAGTAAGAGTGTACAGAAGAATATTAAAAATATCGTGGACAGAACACGTCACAAACAAAGAAGTTCTTGGAAGAATGAATAAAGAAATGGAAATTTTAAACACGGTAAAAACAAGAAAATTAGAATATCTCGGATATATTACACGTGGAGCGAAATACACCCTGCTCCAATTGATAATGCAGGGAAAGATACAAGGAAAGAGAAGCATAGGGAGGCGTAGAATGTCATGGCTGCGCAACCTGAGAGAGTGGTACGGATGTACATCAAATGAACTGAATGAATTGAAAAGAAGAAGAGTCAATCTACACCGCTGGGCTATCGCGGGGAAGTGGGAAGTGCGATGAGTAGTAATTAGGCCTATAAGACCTAAGTTGATTACCGTGTATGTTGATTAAAAAGTAGTAGTAATTTCTGACATTTATCTATTTGTGGCTGTTATTGTGGTTTTCAGGATTTTTAATTATATTTCGTTTTGTTATTCAGGCTCTAATTCTATCACGTTGTTTTTATTTGTCACTACAGATATACATATATTTAGTCTAGCTACTTTTTTTACCTTCATGTTTAATTATCTCTCTTTATGTTTCATTTGAAAATCTTTTACCTCTTTACATTTTTCTGTTTACATAGTTCTAGATATATCTAATTAATTAATTCTATTAGTTCTAGATAATGGCCTATAATCCTAAAAAACAATATATTATTTAAATTAAACTGTGATATCTATCGATTTTCCTATTTATTTATTTTAAATTGCTTGTATTGTTGTATAATGGATTAATAAAAAGGAAAGAGTCATTTAGACTAGCTTATGTTGTATTACCATCTTATTTGTATTGCCCTAGTTTTGTATGCTAGTAAAGTCGCGGAAGGCACATTAGCGTTAAAAGTATTCTTCCTTATTTGTAATTTAAGTTAATCTTATAAGGGTCCTGAATAAACAGTAGTCCTACTGGCCAATTTATTAATGTTTACACCTACAATGTGTTTAATAAATATTTCTATATTTAATATTATAGCAAACAGTACATGGTGCTCTGAATTTATCGTGACTGAATGGATCAAGCAGTTCAAAGTCATAAAAAAATTAGACTCCCAATAATTTATTTTCTTTTTTTAAGGTATCACATAATATTAGATGGTGCTAAAATTGGTTCCCAAAACATACCAAAAGAATGGCAGTATGATACTTACATAACGCTAAATTCACCATTATTAAAGAATACCGACCAATTTGGATTACTTCCAGGATTGGTACAGAGTATTAATAGTTTAATTAGTACAAACTTGGATCGATGCCAACAAGGCGGTAGAGCTACGTGGGGATTTTTCGTGCCATCAGCCAGTGGATTCCAGTTCATTCATGAACTGATTGTAAATAAGAAGGTAATTATTTAATTCATATAAAGTGCTTAAGCGTTTTTATATACATATTTATTTGCTTAAGATCCGTACACGTTTCTAACAATTATTTAGAGGTTTAAAGACCATCCAGTTTTCATTTTCTTGTGCCGCCTGTATCGGTAGTCAAAAAATGATCACGATTGAAACTTTCATACCATTAGATATTAGAACAAGCTTAAACATCGAGGTGTACGAACGATTTTGTTTTATCTTTAATATAAACGGTTTGACAGGTGTAAGACTTTATCCTCTCACTGTATATATAAATTGACGACGTTAAAAACTAATTCATTCAAATTCCATAAATTGCAATTATGGAATTAAGTTGTTACAATGGCCGATTTTTTTCTATAACAAACCATGTTATCTACTACATATCCTAAACATTATTAAAATTATTTAAATATATGAACTTTCAAGTGTTTTTTCGGATTTATTTGTAAATTATCTAACACTAATGGACTAATAGAATTTCACCAAATTTGTATAAAAGTATTATCTCATTTAAAACCTCAAGGTTAGCTCAAACGTGAAAAACTTGTATAATTTTATACCTAATAAATATTCATAATTTCGAGTAAGGCGTAAAAATTGAATGAAATTAATTTGATTAATTTCATTGAAGTTTTCAATGTGAACGCATATCTCACAGTTTTAGGATTATTCTAGATTAATACCATGATTGAAACTAAATTGTTTTGAAAATTTTAGTAAGTAGTAGATCCTGCATTGTTATGAAAACAACTAAAAAACAATTATATTTAATTTTTTTCGGATTTTTGGTAAGATCTTTTAAAGTTTATGTAAACCCATCCAATTATTTTGGGTTAATACAATGTACCTATAGTAAACAACAAATCCAATCTATATTGGTCAGAAGCTTTTTAGTGTGGCATTTTTGTATCATTGATACTGAATAGGGCTACTCGTTTGCTTAAAAGAGAACTACATAAATACAAAGATCAAGGCATAAATGAATTTCTTGAAAGTCTCACTGCGACGGATGACACAAATTACTCTATTTGGAAACTCTCTAAGAAACTTAAACATCAGATTAAGCATGATGGTCCCATTAGAAATAAAGATGGTGATTGGACCAAGGCCGATGAAGATAAAGCACAAGCATTCGCTAATCATCTCAGCCAAGTTTTTCAACCTCACTACAGAACTATCTCAAAGGAAGAAGAAGAATTCATTCACAAGAACTTAGGTGCACCCTACCAGATGTAACCTCCTATAGAAAATATCAAAATTAACGAAATAAAAGTGTTAGTTAAACATCTCAATACTAAAAAAGCTCCAGGGTATGATTTAATATCATGAAAAATCTGCAAAAATGTACCTGAAGAAGGATTTCGGTTATCTACATATTTAACGCTATACTAAAGTTAGGCTATTTTCCATTTCAATGGAAAATGGCACAAATTATTCTAATACCGAAACTAAAAAAAGATCCACACGAACTATCATCCTATCGTCCAATCAGTTTGCTTATCTCTAAGATATTTGAGAGGATACTCCTTCAAAGAATGAATTCTATAATCGACAGACAAAAGTTAATGCCTGATTATCAGTGTGGATTCAGGCAACAACATGGATCAATTGAGCGGGTACATAGAGTTGCCAATGTAGCAAGAGATGCGATTGAAAAGAAAGAAAAATCGTTCTCAAATTTTCAAAGAACTATTTCCGAAGTGGAAATTGAAACGTCAATAAACGTACTTTAACCTTTAATTGTGGCTTATTCCCATTTAAATAGTAATTACTTTAAGTGTTTATTACCTGTGAATTACCTGTACCGATAAGAATTTAGGGTATAGTTTCTAAAGTTAAATTAAAAATCTGCCATGGGATTGTAATCTATTATAAACATTAATCAATTGTTACTTATAAACACTTTTCCCGTGTACTATTATTAAATTTAAACAAATGAATTTTTTAGTATAAAAAATTATTTTTAGAACTTCGTATAAGGAAAAATCGTATAAGAAATTATAACTTCTTAAATATCTTATACTGCCCTCCTAAGCAAAAATGACGTAACTCAATATTTTGCCCGTTTTGCGTTAAAAGTTGTGTAGGGTCTTTGTACTTATACACATCACATTTACTAAACGAAACAGACGTATCTCGCATGAAACCGCTTCAAAACTGCTAATAAAATATCTCATATCACAAAAATAGCTGTAAAACCTTGTCGAATTTGACTTAGCTATATTTTCCTAAGCAAAATTAACTTATCTCAGAGATAAGTTAATTCTGCTTAGGAAATGATATAAAATAATCTAGACAGGCGTATTTTATGCTTAAGGGTGAATAGACGGTCTGCAAATCAATGAGGCAGTGTACAGTTTTGTTGGTCTGTTTTGAGTGTTCAAAATGTGTGAAAAGAAAAATAAAACTTACCAGACTTAAAACGAAGGACAGTGGCAAAGTAACTTAACATGAAGTGAATGAATAAATGTGATGGATACACAGAATGGAAGTTTCACATAGAAAGAGCCACAAAATAACGTGCAAAATATCGTGAAGATGCTGAAAAAGACTACAAGAGCACTGATGAAACCTTACAAATTTACCATAAATCTGTACATTGTAAAAACTTTTATTTTTATTTAAATACTCCCCTTATTTCTAAACTTGGACTAGTCCCTCAAAACCAGTCCATTCTCGGTCCTGAACTATTAACAAGAAAGACAACCAACAAGTTCCGTAAAAATAGATAGTCGCCAAGCAACCTTCGTAAGCAAAGGTCCGACAAGCAAGAGCTTGCGACCAGTCAAATCATTTTTTAATACACTATTTCCCTATTATCTAGTTTTGTGGCCAGTATTGTTGGCAGTAAGTGAATGTGCTAAAAAGAATTAGATGCTGTTCCTATTGTAAGTAATAATCAAACTTATATCTAAGTATTCAACTTCTCAAGGGTTTTAAGTTGCGGTGTTACCATAACGTGTCGCGAGTGCATATAAAACGATTTGCCGATCCAACAACGGTTTGAATATCACATAAACATTTACTGTTTATATCTATAAGCAATAAACTTATATTGATATTTTCTACATTGATACATGATATTTCTACAGTGCTATACGCTATTTTTTCTTTTAATAAAGATACATTTTGACTAATCTTATTTAAGGCTTTACCAATTTAATGTTTACCCCTATCCCTTGTCAAGGGAACAACCTTTCAGGTGCTGAATTCCCTAACTGGTTCTTCGTAGCTAAGGAGTACCCCAGAAGTTTTGTGCGGTAAGAAAAAATCTTCCATCGAACCAGCAAAGTTCGCTATGGCGAACTCCTTATTCGTACAACAACTAGTATAACATACTCTGCAGATTTGGAGAAGGTAATACTGCTGCCAAGTTTAGAAATGTTTAAAATCGTTTAAAAAATGTTTAAAATTAAAATTTATAATTTAAATTTTTTTATGCTACCTCCACCATTTTAAGTACTTAAAATTTGTAAATAACAGTATCGGAATAGGGTCCTGTGGGGGGTTGACCCCTCCCCGTGGGTGCGCCACTGCTGTCCAAAATACTACTGGTCATACGGAAATCTTGCCAATAAAATTGGAGATTGGGAAATTTTGATTTGGGAAGATTATTCATCTCAGTATAAACTTGGTAAGATTAATCCTAGACCTTATTTGCAAAACATGGTGCAAGTAATCTTTCAAAGAGAAAGCTACAAAATGAAGTATAAATACGATTTTGATGAGGAATACTTGGAAATTAATTTTTTTTTAACTCTAAAATTACAAAAGATAATATATTATCAAAGCCCACAATGTGTGAAAAGGTAAATGGAATATCTCTTCAGAAAAAAATAACATACTTCACAATATGGGAGAGATCATTAAGACCCGGTTACTGTTTTGGGAAAATTTACCTACTACATTGCAATAAACTCACCGCTGTTTTTACTTTAATCTAATATTTAAATGCATCAATATTTTATTATTTCTTACTATTTCTTTTATATATTAAAGTTGGAAATATATGCTGGCAAGTAGCCAGAAGGCCCCTTTGAAATAGATAATAATCCTGGTTAAACGTATGATAGAACCAATTTCCCATACTGGACGCAACATTACTTGCGACAACTGGTTTACGTCCATTACACTGGCTACTGACTTGCTACATAATTACAGGATAACTCTAGTAGGAACCCTGAGAAAGAATAAACCACAAATTCCTCCTCTTTTTGTAGCTACAAAAGGAAGACCACTAAACAGCAGCATTTTTGGTTATGGGAAAGACTGTCTTTTACTATCATACGTTCCCAAGAAAAACAAATATGTTCTGATGTTATCTACGTTTCATGATGATGACACAATTGATGAAGAAACGGGTAAAAACTTTAAGCCGAAGGTTATAACCTTCTACAATACGACAAAGGGAGCAGTGGATGTTGTGGACTAGATAAAATGTAATTACTCCGTTTCTCGAATAAGTTGCCGATAGCCACTTACAGTCTTTTTTTCATTGATCAACATTGCAGGAATAAATAGTCAGGTAATTTATTCTAGCAATACTAATACTAAATTAGAACGCCGTAATTATCTAAGAGAAATTAGTACAGATCTCATCAGACCCGACCTGATAAGTCGTGCATCAATAACAACATTGCCAATATTATTACGACTTCAAATATGGCGGCAAGCAGGTCTTCTTGATGAAGAAACTTCAGTAGCAAGTGCAGAAACTAAAGATATAGTCAAATGTTTTTACTGTCCTCGAAGTAAAAATAGAAAAACCACTTTAAGGTGTGCAGATTGTTCAAAACCTATTTGTATATAATTACAATATGTCAAATATGTGTCAATAAATGCTATGAGAGTGAATAAAGTGTTTACATTTCTTTTATGTTATACAATTTTTCTATATTATGTAATATTTCATTAATAAAGAATACATACATTCATGTTATTTATCACGAATAACATTTTTAAAGAACCAGCAACCGACTAAGTTTCGTTAATTATTGAATATCCTAATAAAATATAATTAAATGAGAAGAAAATGGCGAGTGAGCGCAGCGCTCATAAGCGAACAATCGCGTCATTTTCTGATCGCGAACAATGACAGGTTAAGTAAGATTGTACAAAAATATGAAATAAAAATATTTTTCCTAGCCAGTGCGCCCCAGTGGCGGCTCGTGGCTTTAGAGACAGGGTCGGTAAGGTTTTTTTGTGTTTTCATATAGGTATGCCGTCTCTAAAAAGGCTTCATTCATCATAGGAGATTTTTGTTTTTTTCTTATAAATTTAGAACCTAAACATGTTTATAAATTATCTCTAATGTACGTTATTTGGAACAAGCGAAATGGGTTATAACGTTATCGTTAAATTTTATTAGAGATTTGGAGACATTTAAAAGTTTTTTTCTATTGACATTTGAGACAGGCTTGATCATGGTGTTTCGACAATACGTTTCGATTCTTTTGAGGCAAGAGAAATCCCGTTCCTTTGAGGCAGCAAAGTTGATGGTAATTAGAGAATTAATGACAATAATTTATTGATTTTGATAACAGTTTGTTGTGATGAATTGCAGTATATAAAATTATACATATCTTGTAACTTATCCCACCTTCCTAAAATATTTGGATCAGAATATAAAACTCTTAATTCATTTTCTAATTTTATTTTAATAAATAATGATGGATAATTTTTAATTAACTTATCTAATAGATATCTTGTAAATTCTTTCGCTTAACTTTTAAATTTTGAATTGTCAAAGAGGTCAAAAATTTGCATTTGCAAAAATTTGAGTATCTATTTGCATAATAATAGAATCCAAAATTTCCAAATGTATTTGTTTTCGAAATCTGTGTCTGTGTCATACCTTTGTTTTTCTTTTGTGAAGTTCGGAAATATCAAGCGAATCCAAAACGTCACTGCGTATATATTGAAAATTACTATCGTTACGAAATTTAATTTTTTTACACGTATCCTGCAAAACTAACTTATTATATCCACATGACAATCACTAAATAAAGCTTTCAGTGCAATAGTTTTAACTTTTGCCTGTAAAAAATTCAATTCACCGGACATCACGGCAGCGCCGTCATATGTTTGCCCTACCAATTTATTTTTGATATCAAAAAATTTTAATCTGAACTTTGAAACATCAAAAATAGATTCTGCCTTATGGCTGTTACTCACGTCTGTCAAACCCAAAAACCTTTTATAAATATTACCAGGTAACGCGGATCAAACAACAATTGATACTTGTGAATGGCATGATATATCAGTAGTTTCATCTGCTTCTAGCGAAAAGCAAATGGTATCCTGAATCTCAGATTCAACGTTATTCAAAATGTAACTAATTGATTCTATTATTTCATTCTGGATTGTTTTAGATACGCCGCTAAATGTCTTCGAATCAGAAAGTGAATTAGAAGATATAGAGAATGCTCCGATTCATCGTGTCCCCTAAGTAATAATTCCTGACAACTTAAAAAAATTACAACATCAATTAAACGACGTAAAACTGCGTGATTATTAACTTCGTTATGTTTAATAGCATTTCTACGTTGGACATTATCTAATGATAGGTATTTTGTTTTCCAGATAAATCTAATTTAATCTGTCTGTATGTATGACCTTTGGAAATATCATATTTCTGTAAAGCCCTAAATAATTCTTTTAATAAGCCGAGGCATTTTAGACCAAGAATGTCCCCTATTTTTAATATCAATTTGTCCTTCTTATGGAATAGATGAAAACCCATTTTGCAAAATATAATTTACAATATCAGATTTATCAGTGCCTACAGAGTCTCCCATATCTTGAATTTTTTTAGATTAATTTACCTGAATTTGTTTATACTTTAATTTTAAAAAAGAAAAAACTTCAAATATATCAAAAAATCCTTTATTTAAGTATTTACGTCAACGATAACTTATCACAGTATTACTTAAATTATAAAATATTAAATATTAAAAATCAAAACAAATCAATACAAAACGAATCGATCGATACGCTCCCAGAAAAGCCAGTCAGTGCACTATCACTTCACTACTTAAGTACTTATCCCGAAATAACATTTCATTTGCGGTCAATACAAATGTAGAATCGGCAGATTCAATTTTGCCGTACCTACCATTTAAATGCGTACGGAGAGAAATGTATGTTTGGTTGCTTATCGACTAATATTCCCTTGATTTTTACATGTAAAGGTCGATTCCGACACATCAGTCCCGTCATAGTCTCGGCGCCGAACCGGTCCTGTTTGGTCACAGAACTATCAACTATCTGACAGCTGGGAAACTGTCAACTGATGAGTGTGAATGCCAGCAACATATTTGTATTAAAGAATATTTTGTATGACGGATTGTTCGGTTCGGCGCAATCACTGTGACGAGACGTGACTGATGTGTCTGAATCGACCTTTAATGGTCAAGCTTGGGATCAGCTTGCCGAAACGGGTCTGTATAAGAATTCACACAGTCGGATGTATGACTTGGATCTCGGATCATTAATTAATTATCGAATTCTTTTAAAAACCATGCATAAAATTTAATCTGTATTATCTGACAGATATTTTCTTTATTTCAAAGAAACAAGTGACATCAACTTATTTACAGTCGTTAATTAATTATTGAAATACTAATTAAATTAAATATTTACTAACCGGACTATAATAAATTTGCGAAACAAATTCAATTCATGAATTTAAACTTTAAAAGAAGTTATAATTTCTTATAATATTATATATACGATTTTTTGTTCTAAAAATAACTTCTTAATACTAAAAATTGATTTGTTCAAATTTAGTAAGAGTTTATGAAAAAATTGTTTATAAATAATATTTTAATACTGTTAGTGAACTAAAAAATTGATGAATCCCTAGATGAGTGGCTTTTTCTCTCATACTATACATTTCAAAAGCCAAAACCGTCTATACAAAGATCATTAATTGGCTTAGTTTGGCATTCCCATGAATTTGGTATTTCTTGCCTACAAACATTAATTAATTCAATTTTTTTTTAGATACAACCAGTTATTCATGAAAAATTTACCTTTGATAAACTACCAGAAGCTCTCGAAACCATTGAAAAGGGTCATCTAAGAGGAAAAGTGGTCATCGATTTTAAACATTAAGTTTAATTATGAGTCTTCGTTTAACTAAAGTTTTTTTGTTCTAAAATGACTAACTCGTCTATGTTGTCCTTATAGTATATTCTGTGATAAAATGATTTTGTTTTGTCCTAAAATTACTACATCTTGGGTGTTATTTGTTACGTTTATAAAAATAATTAAGTTATGTACATATGTACATAAAAAATTAATCAATTCGTTCCTGTAATTTTCATAAATAATAAAAAAAAATGAAAACTTGTTTTCTTCTCCCAAGATCCTAAAAGACATCCTAACGATAGTAAAGAATGGCATTTGCTGGATTTGTTAGCAAAATAGATACAGGCATATATAGAAATTATTCCAGTAACATACGAGAAATGAGAGTTAACTAATTACAGACAAAAGGAACAGTATGGGCACGAAAGGTAGGAAAAATAGGGAAACAACCAGAAAATGGATAGTCGACTTCGTCCTTGTCCGTCACCACAACAAGAACACTAGAAGGAAAAACAATTAGTAAACCTAAATTACTTTTACTGGTAACTACAGTAAATTCAACTTCAAGTTACGGACAGAATCAACACAAGTCACCGCGTGATATTCGAGTCTACACGTGACGAACGCCTTGTTATTGGCCAAATTGTCGAACGATCGTAAGTCAGGCAGTTAGCCCTAACAGGTGCGGACTTCGTTTTTCCGCTCCGTCCTCTGTCGAATGCGAAATGGCAAAGTAATTTTTGTGCAAAGCTGTTTGTTGGTTTGTTTATTTGTTAATCGTTAGCTCGTGTGTGGATAGTGCAAAGCATTTTTAAGAACATTTAATTATAGTCGATACAAACTTTTTCCCCACTTTAAAATAATTCCTGTAAATATAATAAAGCATTTATAATAGCCATAAGATAAGATATAATATCGACCTGCACTGATATGTTTAATGGATAAAAATTATTTAGTATGTTAAAAATTATGAAAAACAAGAGGTGCCCGATATAATTTTGTCCTGACTATAATTAATTTAAACTCTTTGCGGCACGAGATTTTATAAATTTTCTACAATGGACCTTTGGGGCATAGAAAGATTCAATTGCACACGTAAAAAGTAAAATGACCTCATTTTTCAAGAAACAACTGATAACCATTCGCGTTTGGCCAATAACTATACCGTGGAAATTTTACCCATTAAAGATAACACTTAATAGGGACAGAGGGAATAAGTAATACAAACCACTTGAGTAGGTGTAACTTGATAAAAATAGTTTAATAAGTGATTCATTTTGTGGACTACTGTACAACCTGTAGCAAAAATTTGGTGGTTCAAATTTCAATCCGATGTGCCGAAAAGAGTTAAAAAATACCTTTTTTTATATATTAAAAAAAAATCAACCCGGGCAGATATTGTTTTAGATTTTTTGGAATTGGAATTTATTTTGTAATTTTTCTTAAGTTGATCATGTTCGAGTTATAAATAATTAAAACTGGAAGACAAGGAAGAATTGACAGGTGAACAAGAATTGACAGACGAAAAAGAATTGACAGACAAAGAACGATAGATGACGATTTTCAAGGATCAAAATCATTAGTAAAAAATATCACATTTACCAAAGCGGTGTAGGTAAATCTTATATCGGATCCTCTACTATAAAAGTAAATTTGAAAATGCCCATTTTGTTATTTTAGTTGAGAAAAGTATAATAAATCCATTTATTTTAATATGTCTGATATGGAGTCGGCAAATGAAAATGAGGAACTGTCAACGCTAAGTCCTCCTAGGAAAAGAGCTAAGAAAAATCACGTAGATATAAGAATCAAAAAAATATTGGTTAATACATACAAATGTGAATTACAAGATAATCCTACTTTAGCGTTCCAAACACTGGAAAAAAATGCTATAATTGTAATGGACAAAGTCCCTTACCATTCCAGAAAATTAAAAAAATTCCCATTATGGCTACAAAAAAGGCAGATATTCAAAATTGGCTTCGCTCAAAAGACATTCCCTTTGAAGAAACTATGTTAAAGCTGCAACTTTTAGAAATCGTTAAACAACATAAAGGCGAATATAATAAGTACATAGTAGATGAACTGGTAAGAAGCACAAATAGAATAGTTTTAAGGTTGCCACCGTATCACTGCGAGTTCAATCCAATCGAGCTTGTATGGGCGGAAGTCAAGAATTATGTAGCATGGCATAACACAACATTTAAATTTGCTGACATTAAAAATTTATTTCATGAAGCTGTGTCTGCTGTAACCATGGAAAAAACTGCGTCAAACATGTAAAAGAAGAAGTGGAGCCAAAAATGTGGGAGTTGGACAATTTAATTGAGGAACAAATTGAGCCTATCATTATCAACTTTAATGATGACAACAGTACATTAGATTCTGAAGTTAAGATAAAATACGGTAATTTTGTATACTTTATTTTGTTGTTAATAACTCACGACTTTGTAAACCATTTTTATATTTAAAAAATTGGTGTACTATAATCTGTACCTGTCAGACGTCTACAAATTATATAAGGTTTTGTATTGCAGCTTTAATTTACTAGTCCGGCCCTGAACAAACGCGTGTTTCCAGCGTGCATTTGTTTCCATCGTCCGTAGCTTGAAGTTGAATTAACTTTAGTAGAGCATGTAGAAAAATTTTAATACGAGAATGAACGAATAAAAGTAAATAAGGTTAACTGTACCTAAATAAGTAATAATAAAGTGACTAAATGTAATGTCCCAGATGGTGAAAATTGTAGAAATATAATACATTGCCTAAGCGCCCAATTATACGAATTGGATGACGCGGACAATTTCCAAGTTATACATATAACTGTTGTCAGCGCTACATTAACTGGATGCGTTCTCTATATGAAACGTGTAAACTGCTCTTGCCGTCGATAACAACGATGGTCTTCGAGCTGACTGGTGCTCAGGATGGACCTCACCTCCTGCTGTAATTTTGTTAATTTCCTTCTAAATCAGTCTACCGCCATTACTCCGGAAGTTTTAGAGGTCAATGAACACGAATATGATAACGATGATGGTAGGTATCTAGTGCCCAGGGTGACCTCTCCTAAATTTGTATGTTATAAAAATCGTAAATAACAAATTACCAAAAACTTCAGGAGACGAGGTCCACGTTGAACACCAGATACCTTGTAGATAATCGCTGTCGTAATATTCACTAATCCCAAAAACCCTCGAGTAAGGACGTTTGACTGATTTAGAATAAAAATAACAAAACTTCAGGATAAGTCATGTATTTTCCTTATGCACCAAATGCAATTTTCTTTTTACCACTATGAATTTTGTTCATAAACTTTTCTGACACTTTCTCGAATCGAATGCAAAAAGTTTCACAGTAATTAATCTTGCTGCCGAAAATTGGTAGGTTTCGTGCTTCATTTCTTCGCCTAATAACGCAGACTCGCCGACGGCAATGTCTTTCATATAATTTACTCCATGATAGTGTCATTTGTTATAAGAAGACGATAGCGTTATTAATAGTACACAGTCTTCAATTAATTAAAATGTTTCACGCATTATTCATTACATACGTTCGTCGTGACATTTAGAAAATATGAAGAATTTAATAAAAGTCATGGTATCAGAGACATATTAAGCATAGCATTATGAACAAATCAATTGGAAAGCTCAGAATTGATACAGAAATGCAAAGGTATCAGGAGTACGTATTATTTATTATACAGGTTGATTAACTTTTGTGACAGTCAGTTATATCTGTTATTGTAGCATATACAAAAAAAAAACGGTACTAAATTTAAGCACTGTTATAGGAGTTAGCTGTAAGCTTCGCATTTAAAGTATTTCTCCTGCCCATAATTAATAATTTTTGAGATATTTTAAATTGTAGTGTTGCAAAGGAACTTGGTCATGTCCTGTGAAGTTGGGATCAAGAATTGCTATATCCACAGCTTGGGATCAAAACAGGTTACGTCCAATAGTTTTTATCATTTCAGCGCATTTCTTGCTCTTGCAGTATGCTGAATGTAATATCAATATAAAGAGTGTTTTCTTTAATTGTTTTAACAGTAATTTTCAAATTTTTATTGCTGCCATCAAAAGTGAGAGTGTTTTGTTACTTCCTGTCAAATCATGCACGATGGACGTAGCCAGATTTGATTCTATACACCTGTTATATTACCGCGTACATAAAAAATATATTTTTATTTTCTTTAAATATTTACTGCAACATTTCATATTCTATTCAATAAATTATGAAATAAACTGTTCTCGAACTGTATAAGCTGTAGAATAGATTCGATGATTTGTTGGATGAAAATTTCTTAAGCATTAGCCTGTTAAAATAAATCCATGAATTCCTCTTCTTAATTTATCTTGAATTTTCCTTTGTCTCTAATTATAATGTCTTCTCATATATCTGCAATTTTATATAACTAATAAAAAAATATTTATTTTGGGTAAACACTGAAGCATTAAAAGGAAAAATCTCAAGGATCACTACAAGTTCCAGAAAAATACAGAGTAATAAAGATAAAGAGTATAAAAAATATAAAAACTGGTCCTAGGCAAATCTAATGAGATTTTTGGACGATTTTAACTTCAGATGGACAACTGAACCAAATATCAGTATTAGTCCGACTGAAGAAACTAATCGTAGGAATTCTCAGTCGTCAAGGACAGAATATCAATCCCTACCGGAAACTATTGCTTCCTGCAAAAACAAAAAAGACATTCCAAAAATGAGAAACAGCTGAATGATAGTGAGAAGCTACTAGAAAACCTAACAATCAAAAACGATAAACAAAGAACAGTGGATAAGATAAATAATTTCTAAATCTGAAAGTTTTATAAAGATTCTACCCAGAATGCAAGCTAAAACTAATATTGCTCTGAAGCTATTTTCTTGTGGCATTTTAAATTAATTACTATTTAACTGGGAATAAGCAAGATATATAGTATATTATTATATATAATATAATAATATACTAGATATAACAACTTTATTTACTCGGTATGAATTGCAAGCTGCAAGGGATAATGGTGATTAGGCGAGACATTAGAGAGTTTTTGTGCAAGAAAATACGTATACGTAACGTATCTTTTTGACATATAAGCATGCGCATTTATGGTTGAACTAACGTATCTAGATACGTATTACCTAACGTAACGGGCTGATACGTTACGTTCATACGCATCCCTATCGAGCCGAAAGTAACCGAATGCATCCGATTACCAAACTATCAACATCAACATTTCATCACATTTGTGGTTAAGTATATTTGTTTTGATTTTTATAAATAATGGAAAGTAGTAGAAAACGTCTTCGCTTCAGCACTGAAAATGATTTGTTTTTGTTGAAGGAAGTCGTAGGCCAGATCCCTTACGATTATTCAGAAAGGTGGAATTTAATCCAACAGTGAAAAAGATTTTTACAGTGTATATCAGACATGGTATAAATTAAAGCGGTAGTATGTTCGTGCAAGATGTGGAGAAGAAACGCATTTTCTATGTCCTCGTTTTCTTTTACATCAATAAAGGCACCTACATTTATTATTGCGTCCATCTCCAAAATTAAAAATTGTTGAAAAAATATTTAATATTTATTTTGAATATCAAAAATAGGGTTAAATGACAAGGACAACTGTGCCACTGACAACTTATTAGTTTATCATTAATTCGATGAGGGCAACACCATCGTTACGTTACGTGCAGAACAAAAACTCTCAATTTAACCTTCATTTTCTTCGATACGTAAGTTCTTTACGTATAGGGAGATACGTTACGTTAGGTAGTTACAAAAACTCCCTATTACCAGTAACTCTTGCGTAATACATCTCACAGCCGCCTTGTTGAACGCATTCCAACTATGACTAATCGAAAACCCGTCAAGCGAAGGTGACTACGAGGAAAATGCATTCCAATTAACAGAAAATATGGCCAAAGCAGAATTAATGGCAATAATTAAAGAATATTTCGTCAATATGCTTTTGAGTTAACGACTAGACTGGACGGCATGTTATTATTGTTTTAAGACCACCTTCAATTCGAATTGAATCCCATTGAAGTAATTTGGGCTCAAATTGGGATAGGTATGTGGTCTGAAAAACTTGGAAGAATGGGATTCTATTATTAATACTCACGTCTATGTGTTTTGTTTTATACCAAGTTGAGAAGCGAATGATTTTTAAGAATTACATCATTCTCACTGAGGTCGCTGTCAGGGGTAGTTGGCTTCAGTGTGGATCCGAATTTATTCATCAAATTTGAAATGTTTCTTGTGTTTCGTCCCTTTTTATGGAAATCTAGTGTGTAGTGGCAGTTAATTGTGCAGTATATGTAGTTACATAGGAGGTGTGAAACTAAGACGGTGGTGGATGTTTTTCAGTTAAGCCGATAAAAACCGGCGAATTTGTTGAAAGTAATGGAATTTTACTCTCTGTTAATATGTCAAATTTGGAAGAGTAATCACTACATATTGTATTAAACATCTAAGAGATTTGTGTCGTGTACCAGAGTTCTGAAAATGATTCGTTTTGTAAAAAATTGCCGCTGATTTATTCCTACCTCACCTATGTTTGTCCCCGGCTGATCAAGGTTCCAGACCATAGATGTGGTCCTTTTTGTTCGTGTGTATCAGAAATTCCAGTTTTTAACCCCAGAAGATTAGTGCATTTTTTTGTGAAACCAAGGTAACTTTTTTGTTTTAAACTTTTGAATGAAAAATAAAGATTAAAATAATAATTGCTTTCATAATTCATAATAAAAAAAAATAGAAATTGTAATAATTAATATATTGTAAATCTTAGGGTGTGGCTATGCTGTCAATTTTGTTTGTTCTCCGTTGGGCAATTACTGGAGATAGTGGAAAGCAAAATGAAGCACCATTTATTTGTCTGCAAAATTGATTTTGGAAGATGAAATAAGTGTTGGATATAGAGGTAATGGATTTTGACAAGAGCTATGAGTCATGCCGATGCCGACACAAGTTTACCTATTATTTACAAGGTCATAGCTCTTGTCAAAATCCATTGCCTATACAATGTTTAATAATGAGAGATAAGTGGTCTTACTGGATACTGTATTTAGTTTTTTTTTAATTTAAATTGCTTGTCTTACTGTGTAATACATGTAAAAGAAATCTTTTGAATTTAAATTGGTTGTCTTACTGTTACCGCGTACTACGTTAGTGTGTACCGTATTCACTGTGTAATACCTTAATCTACTTATAATAACATCGTTTGAAACAATAAGAGTATAAAAACTTATATAAAAGGTCGTGCGTATTTAACAAATACGGATAAGCATTACTAAAACAGACAAATAAAAGCACGAGCTATAACTCACTCAAATTTATAAGTTGGAGTGTAGGTATCCGTATGTACCGCATACGCGCGCCTATCGAAAGATTAATAGGTAAAGCTTTTGGTATTGACAAATACATGATGAAACCTTACACAAAAAGAGACGCAAAGGATGATTTAAACAAACAAGTTTTAAATTATCGGCTTTGTCATAGTAGGAGGGTTTCAGAAAAACATTTGGGTTATATTTGGATTTAGAATATTTTAAACACCAACAGCGATTGATCCAGAATGATGTGAAGACCTAATATTAAGCTGTTCTTTACTTAACCTACTAGGTGAAAGATTTTTAGAAGAATCTGGGAAATCTGTTTATTGGCTGAATAGTTCTAATGTAACATACCCAAATATGCAGTTTTTAATTTAAACAGGAGGTTATACAAACAAATAAAACCGGATTTATGGTAAGAGATGAGTTGAACAAACTTTTTTTCTGAGGCTGGTGCAGTTTCTTGGCAAGACGATTACTTGAAGAGAATAAACTAATTTTGAGGATATTTTACGGGAAATAGGATCATTTTTAAAATACTAATATTTAACATATGTTTGGTCACATAAAGAAAAAACATATAAAAAAAAACAATTTACGTAAAATTTATTACAAGACATAACAGATTCTCCACAAATGGCACCTTACAAAGATTAGCCCGATTATTTCTTCAGTACAGTATCATAAACGTCAGTTCTTCGCTGCCCAAAGATCGGTATTTGAGCTCTGACTTCGTCACATTCTGAGAAATCCAAGTCAGAAAAAATAATATCTTCTGTTTCTTTGGCTTGTGCTAAAACCTTACCCCATGGACTAGTTACTTGTGAAAAACCATATGCTCGGAATCCTTTCTCGTTTCTAGATGGGCTTATTCCACATACAAAGACTTGATTATCTAGTGCTCTAGATCTTTGTAATAGTTCGAAATGAAGTGGTCCGGTAGTTACCGTAAAGGCAGCTAAAATAAAAATGCATTATTAGTTTTATCTTCATAATACCATGAATGAATAAAAAAGGCTATCTCTAGTATTAACAATGTTAAAAAAGAAATGAATGGATTATTTCAGAAACAACCTAAGTCACATTTTGAAAGTTTATAACACCAACATGTATTTCTGTGGGTTACACACAATTTAATGCAGAATACATTTAAGTCCCGTAAACATAGTTGATTTTATATTCAATATTCATATATTTCTAAAACCACTTTAGTCCTGGGCTAAGGTTGTTTTTGCACTAAATTGTCAGTTGTCATTTTGCATATCGACGTTTACCATAACCTATAAAATTTATAGTGTTTCTAATGTTAGTTCTTATTGCTGCTTACAAAAAGTTGTTTGTATATTGAAAGAAAATCGTTCATATTTTGATATTATTAGAGTCTGTATGTAGAGTCTGCTACTAAAAGGCGTAGGAGAATTAAGAAATTGGATGAATATCAGCGTAATGTTATCAGAAACTCTAGAGTAAAAGGGCAAACATAACGTCATGGAAGCAAAGCAAATAGGACCTCATTGCAAGTAAGACAATAAAAATATAATATTTTTTAGTTTGTAAAATACGTTTTTTAGGTGTCTACTCAAATGTTTTGAAAAGGTGAACAAAGATTAAAGGAACATTATTTTTGGTAACTTTACGGTATCACAACAAAAAACGAACATGATATATGTCTACAAATATTAATAGAAGTAATGGAGGTGTATAGAACAAGAAAACGTAATGAAGGAGGTAAAGATGGGACAAGAAGTTACAAGCTCTTTGTTAATATTGATCAGACTAAAAAAAAGATATGCGAAGGTGCTTTTTTAAGTATTCACGCCAGTGGAAGAGAAAGGCTAAAGATAATTAAAAGACTTGTGGTATGTGGTGTGATACCTATAGGTAAAAGGGAAAAAATATAAAAGGGAACATTATTGATGCTGAAACTAGGGAACTTATCCGTAGCCACATTTATGTAATTTTCCGTAAACTAATTTTCGAAACCAAAATTAGTTTACGGATTACGATCAGATGCCGCTATTTGCGTCTATACGAAGCCATGTTAGAGTTGCTATTAGGGCGAAATACGTGTAAGCAGATACACAGGCGCACTATACGTGAAATCAAATCTTGACTGTCTTTTTCTTTTTAGTTTATTAACGATTTACAATTTTTTGTTTTTGATAAATTCTTACTTGTGACATTAGACTGTGTGAAAATCTTACGTCCGAATATGACTTAGGTTGTTTCTGAAATAAGCGATCCAAATATAAATCGTATCTACGAGTTCTGCCCCAAAAGTACCCGATCTTCAATTATAACTTCGCTCCATAACGTCTGTGTCGTTAGTACCTCAACTTTCACAGACAACCAAAGACGTGGGATTGCAAATAAACGAAAGTGCCAACTTGGTCAACGGAGGAACAATAAAATTAGAAAACAACACTATACAAGAGGTTACACATACAGATATCTTGGTCATGACTTAAAAACCACCAAAAACAACTAGACACAAGAAATAAAAAGGAGAATTGTTCGATGTTTTTCTCCATATGGTAGATTGAAGGTTACATTCAACAGTGAAATCAATATGGACCTCAAGAGAAAGGTATACAATCAATGCGTATCTCCAATTATAACATATTAACGTCGATTATGGAGATACGAGGTTGCACATGAATGTATTGTTTGAAGCACAGACATTTTTGAGGTACTGCTTCCCACAACTGGGGAGAAGTATCGCCCTATATGTATCGTGTTCAGCGATCCCAAAAACTCCCGAGTAGTAATATTGAACCCATTTCCGATTTACAAAATAATGCACTTAAGTGCATTACATTCGAAATGCATTTTCTGTGTTCAATAATGAATTTTCTTGAAAATTCATTATTGAACAAATATATCAATTATAGTTTATTAATGAATGCTCCTAAGAATAGAATGCAACAAGTTTCACTCATACATCCAACTGCAAAAAAATTGAAAAAAAAAAAATAAAATAGAAAGTTTAATTCGATTTATTCCAATGGTAGAATGAGTTTACCTAAAAAAAGGGTATTTTCCATAGTCTTCTTCTTCTTACTTCAGGCGAGACAGGTTAATCTCTGGCACTTGGTCGTACGACCTTTGTACCATACCTTGTTTTTTTTTCATTAAACTTCAATAAGTCCTGTGGCCTCAACGAACTCAAGCAGTTTCCTCATTAGTAGTTTTAGCATCTATTTTGGTTCCATCTTCAGTTGGCCAGTGACCTGATATCACTTAGCAGATTGCAATAGCTTAAGATGAGTTTTGCAGTCATTTCTTCCACTTCGCATTTTTGTAGCATTGTTCATTCGCCTTACCTATTTAATATGTGTTTTCTTAAACGAAAATGGCCCGTCACCATTTCGGTAACCGTTTTAATCCCGTTCATTAAAGTTCATCAAATTTTCCGAGAATTTTTTATCAATTTTCTTAGCCTGGATTTGCCCTTGAGTGGTTTGACATTTTTTTGATGATTCCTTAACAACCACTTCTAAACCTCGTTCCTTGCAGCGTCTTTGATAATGCCACACAATGGTTCTTGGCATACAAAGCTTTCTCTCGAGCCTTGTTTTGGCAACAAATTTGCTTGTCCCATGCACCCCTTCATGACACGGCACCCACATTTCCTCTAGTCTTTTCCAAATCTCCATTTACTGGGACACAATAAAATATCAATACTAACTTATTCGATTGGTACTTACATAAAATAGAGAAGTTGTAGCATAAATATTTAAATAAAACCTAGTATACTATATAAAGATAATTTAGTAAAATTATTATCGATAAATGAAGAAATAAATATACCTGGATAAATCAATAATTTGCATCCTTGTAATCTATACAATTTGGCCAGTTCCTCAAATCTTAAATCATAGCAAATTCCTAGTCCCACTTTAATGCAATTCATATCAAAGGTAGCAAGTTGATTACCACCAGTTAAAATATCTGATTCCTTGAATGTTATTTTTCCGGGAATATCAATATCAAATAAATGCATCTTCCTAAATTTTGCTATAAGCTGTCCTTCAGGATTCCAAACTGTACAAGTATTATAATATTTATTATCTTCTATTTCGGGAAATGTACCTCCCACCAAATAAATTGAATTTTCTTTAGCCGCTTTCGATAGCATTTCACATGTTGAACTTTTCGGGACTTCAGATGCATATTGTTTAAAGAAATTGGTGCCATACGGAGAATTAAAACATTCTGGTAATGCTACCAATTCTGCTCCCCCTGCTTTGGCTTTAGCAATATGTTTCGAAGCATTTTCTAAATTTTTACATAGTTCTGTTCCTACCTGCATCTGAACCAGGGCTGTACGGATAATTTGCTTTCTCATATTTTTTTGTATCTTCTATCTAAAATATAGAAAATATTATGATCATATGCAAAATAATGATAAATATATTAAAATTTTTAAGCAAATAAGGTGTGTTTTACAGTAAATAAAATTTCTGGTAGCTACAGGCGAGCTAATATATATAAAGGGTGTCTCAGAATAGATTGTAGTTTTTAAATCAATAAAACTCGGTTTCAGAACCTGTTAGAAAACATTTATTACGAAAATAAACACACAGAACATGCGGATTTTATTTCTTAAACAACACGTCGGTTAGATGTTGACCATCTCGCTCGTAGCACTTTTGCAATCTGGATCGCAAATTGAGAAAGACGTGCTCACGTCGTGCGAATGTTTTGCTTCAGCTCTTTGATGGTGGCTGGTGGATTAGCGTAGACGATGTTTTTTAAATACCCCCACAGAAAAGGAAGGATCTTGGAGGAAAACGAATATCACCATTTTTTGAAATCAGTGTGCCTATAAACATTTCTGTTAGGGCGTTTATTGAAGTGTTCGCTGTGTGTCGCGTAGTACCGTCTTGCTGGAACCATGTATTGCCTGGATTATACCCTAGAAAATTATTCAATTTTGGACGTAGCCAATTCCGCAACATGGCAGTGTATCGTGCACTGTTGACAGTTAGCTTGCGTCCCCTAGCATCTTCAAAAAAGTGGGGTCCGATGATCCCCGATGAAGACATGCCATACCAAACCGTCACCTTTCTTGAATGCAATTGTTTCTGGTGTAATTCATGTGGATTTTCAGAATACCAGTAGCGCGCATTGTACTTGTTGACATATCCATTAAGGTGAAAGTGAGCCTCGCACTGAAAATAATCCCTTCTAAGCCACCGTCATCCCAAAAACGAGTCATCATCTCAGAAAATTTTTTCCTCAGTAAATGATCAGTTTCTTTCAAATATTGGCTTAACTGAATTTTGTGAGGGTGAAAACTTAAATCCTTCTTTAAAATACGCTGGATACTAGCACGAGACAAATTTAGAGCTTGTGCATGTTTGCGAAGTGAACGCCGAGGATTATCATTCACAGCACGTTGAACTTAGCAATATTGACAGGAGTTCGAATAGTTTTTAGTTTCCCTGGATGTTTCACATTTGTAACAACTCCTTCTTCTCTAAATTCCCATGTGTACACTAACATCGCGGATGGTGCTTCAGTTCTAGGGTAGGCTATCAAGCCTCCCTAGAACTGAAGATATATTTACCCCCGTGCGATACGCCGATGATTAGGAATCCCCGCGTTTACGATAGGAAAATATTATTGTAGATACCAAGCTAAAATGGAATTCCCCAATTAAGAAAGGTTTTTAATCCTTCCGTCATAATATTCATTATGAAAAGAACAAATGCTTTCCGGTATGGTAAGGCCCGTATCTGTTGACAATAACTTAATCTCAAGTATTGTCTGTTTCTTATGTCCAATTGTTAATACCGATTATTTTACCTCAAACTTTCCAATAGTCGTCAAGGCCTTACCTTCTGAGAAATACATACGACTGTCCGATGATTTTGAGTGGGGGAATATTTTCTTCTTCCTTTTTCAGGGACAGTTGGTGAAAATTTGAGTGGAACCAATTTACTTGTTGGTGGGCAGTTGTTGATTGAGGTAATATCTCGTGAGACTTTTTGGTGGGCCGTTGTTGAGTTAAGGCCAATATCTCGTGTTACGCTTTGCTCACTTTATTTCTTATCGTATCGTCTTTGTGAATTATTTTCTAAGTGTGTGTACACTTCATATTTGAGTTTTCTTTCCTTAGACTATATTAAATTATATATAGTTCTACACTACCTTTAATGGTTATTAAATTCAGTGTTTAGTACCAGAAAAGTATTAAATTCAGTTAATTAAGCTGCCTTCGTCAAGATCTACTGTAAGTAATCTTTATCTACAATTATCTGGGCGAGTAATATGGTATGGTACCATATCACCTGCCATTATCTGGACGTATCATCGATATCTTCACCTGTAGATTGCCGATTTTTGAATGTAATTGAACCATTCAAGAAATTTCTATAAATAATACCTATGAACATACAAGTCTCAATTTTTTATTAAATAATAGTGCGAGATAGTTAATTGACTTAACCAAGTGCGGTTTGGTTTATGTTTTCATTCCTGTAACCTTTTTGTTTTTTTTTTGTAAATTTAGAGTTAAGTAATTTTTGCTATCTTTTGTATTTCCTATAATTTTTGTTCATTATCTTTCCTATGATATCTCGAGATACGCCAAACTATATTTGTATATGATTGCCTTATATATCTTGGTAAAGGTATTTTCTTATTACATTATTGCTTAATTTTATACATATATAACACCATTTCATAGTTGTGTATTTTTATTACTTGTGTTGCATTTAGCAGAATCATAATTTTGTGTTTAATATATTGTTATTGTTTTATGCATGTATTTTATTTGTCGGCTCCTAACAAGTTCCCTGATAAAATAATAGCTCTGAACAATTACTATCCTTAAATATTACTATGCTTTTGACCAGTAGAAAGATCAGGCTGATTAAGTTTCGTAGGTAAGTAAGTGTAATACTTAATATATTTATTATTTGTTTATATATTGCGTGGACCAGATTTATTTGATAATGTACTGTTGTTATCTTTCCTTGGGTTTGATCTCTGAACCTAAATATCTTTTCTTATCTCTTTTCTTTTCTAAGGTTTTCTTAATTTTCTCCTTAACCCCAAAAAATTGAGTGGCGCCCTGTTTCTATCTTCTCTTATCTTTGGTAATTTTACCCATCTATCTTTTTGTTTATTTCTGTATCTTTTCTAATATCTCTTATCCTATCTTTACCTATTTCTTCCGTTGGATCCATTCCCGGTTCCAAAAGCTAGTTTCGAACCCACGACTCGCTCTCCACCAACCATCTGGCTGCCGTCCGCAGTGTCTCCATTGGTTATCTTTCTAGCACCACCCAAAAAAGATTTCCGAGGTTACACCATAATAGTACCAAATCTCACAGTGCGAGAATCACCTAACAGTTTCTAAATGAAGTAAACATTCCTGTAATAGATTGGCCAGCATTGAGTCCAGACGCAAACCCAATCGAACATGTTTGGAACATGCTTTGGCGAAGGATACGAAGTCGTGTTCCTGTCCCTTTAACCTTAAATCAGTTACAAGAAGCCCTTTTAGATGAAAGGGAACTTATCCCTCAACAGGACATTTGTCATTTGATTTCAGGCATGCTAAGAAGAAATTAGGCAATAATTCGAGCGCATGGAGGAAACATTCATTATTAAAATCAGTTTTTCCAGACACATGATTTAAGTTTTCATTAATTGAGCGCATTTTAGTGCATTACATTTACTTACATTTTTTTCATTAATTTATAAACAGTTCTTCGTTTAAAAGTTAAATTTATATATATATATATATATATATATATATATATATATATATATATAATATATATATATATAATATATATATATATATATATATATATATATATATAAGTTGGGAGGGTTGGAGTCAATTAAAGGACTGTTAGAAGACTATTTTTATTACTCGAGCTCTCGAATCTGTTTACATTCTTTTTCAAGAGCTACAGAATAAAGTAAAACTATAAATAACTTCATTAACATTATGTTCTTACATGTTAAACAAAAATGATATTAAAAGGAAAACTGCTAATACGAAAATGAATGTTTCTCCGACTACATATTACAAATTAATGTTTAGAAAGACTTGAATTTTGACCAAGGTCGTTAAATAAATTATCTATAAAAGGGAATAAGTATTACAAAAAAAAACCGTTAACGCCAATAAAAGTAGCCTAAAAGATAAGTAGCTAAAAGTGGGATGTATTTTAAATGCATTGAAAATGTGATAATTTAAACGAAAAATATTTTCTTAGTTTACAGAAGCACAAAAGAATGTCACAAATATATGGAAAAAATAAAAAACATTTCTAAAAAGACCCTTTTGAATTTATTACCTTCATTCTACAAAATTTTAATGTTGTCAAAACACATGATAAGGTATTTGTCAATCACATGCTCTGCCACGGCACAAGAAGATTTCTTGATTCTGCAAACAATTTTCTGGGAAATAATGGAATATACTCGATAATAAATAAATGGGAACGTGTTCGGAAAACCGCTCGGACACGTCGATTGCGTAAATTTAATCGAGCTTTCTTATGTTAAATATAACACCCTGTATATTATTCAATCTTTGAATATTCTACACAATATCTTATGTACAATGTCCTATACTTTTTAACTGTTTCGGCAATACCAAGTGCTTACAGATTTTTGTAAAAAGTAAAATTAAAAAATTATTTTTTAAATGTTTATTTCTTAATAATGTAAAAAACATAAAGATACATTGATGTGAATATAAGAGACGTTCAAAATGATCGCCGTAAACGACTTGGCAACATCCAAATCTTCAATAGTGTCTTCTAATGTTACTCAAAATCTCAGGGACCGATCTAATCGAAAGCGTTATTAGTCTTCATAAGTCAGCTAAGTCGGGGAGTTTAGTTTTGTATACAATATTTTTGACATATACCCATAAGAAGTTTAATGGCGTCAGATCAGGAGATCGTGCTGGCCATTCCATCTATTCTCGTCTGATCCTGATCCACTGATTTTGAAATATTCGATTGAGGCACTGCCTAATATTGATTCGGTAATGGGGTGATGTTCCATCTGGCTGGAAGTATACCATAGTCGCTGGAACTTGTCGATTTGCTGGATCAGAATAAAAGTTTGTCAAAGTTGGTATGACATTATTTTGGAGAAGTGCAATAATTATCATCATTCACATTGCCATCAATAAAAAGTGGCCTACCCATATCTGCCTTCCATATTCCAGGTACCAAATGTTGAAAAAACATATAAAATATCTTTACTTCTCCATCAGTGAAATTCAGATATCTGTGGCTTCAAACATGTAAATCCAGTAAGTATTAACCAGACTTATAACAATGTTGCTTAACATTTTGACTTTCACATTAG